AATTATCCTCCAAATGGAGGGTTAATTTGTTTGATTTGTCTGGCCATGAAGGGTAGGAGTTTGGGCTTATATCGGTGAAAGTAGCTACTTGGGGCCCGTTTGTTCTTCTCAATATGGAGCAGGATGTTGATAGTGATACAGACATAGTGGAAAAGGAATGGCTTGGCAGCTCTTCAGAACTACTGAGTAACAATGGGGTCGATTCCTCATTAAGTTTTGTTTGTAGACGTGATTATATGATTGAATGTAACTGGAAGGTATGTTCCATGCTTGTTTCACTTTCAATTTTTCCTTACCAGAGGAGTTTCTTTTGAAACTTCAATTTGAACTTTCTCTGTTCTGATGATAATCTTTAACAGCTTTATGGCCCCTAGTCATGAAAGTAAAATACATCACGCCCTGTTTTTTCTTTGCAGCAAAAACCTCTAAAGAAGATTTAGTCTTTACTAAAGCTCAGTTGTTCAAAAATAGCATGGATAACTGTTATTATGTTTAAGATGATGGAGCTGACAACTGATTACTCTTTATCCATTTCTTGTTGTAGGTCTTTTGTGACAACTACTTAGATGGTGGATATCATGTGCCTTATGCACATAAAGGCCTTGCATCTGGTCTTAATCTTGATCATTACTCTACCACAGTATGCTTCCCTTTCTTTATTTCACTTTTCTTGACATGTGTACGTGGGTCGCAAAATTATGCTATATATAGATCTGAAGGTATCTGGAAGATCTTCATGTACCAAGGATTTCACGTATTTTTAACTTTCTTGAAGTACATTCAAAACAAGGGATTCCTTATTTAGAGTTTTGTCAAGAGCTTTTACTCTTGCAGCATATATCCATCTACTAATACTGTTTTCTTGACTTAAATTGTTTGATTTTGTCCTTGCATCTTAGTTAGTGTTGTTAATTATATAGATATATGAAAAGGTCAGCATTCAAAAGTGTGAAGGTGGCTCGACAGAAAGAACAAATGATTATGATCGGCTTGGATCAAAAGCTCTATATGCTTTCGTTTATCCTAATTTCATGATTAATAGGTAATTGATCAGTGACTGAAGTGGAAATGACTAGTGCATTAGTTTCTTCTATAAGCTAATTCTACAATGAATTCTTTTAAGTAATAACATAACTTTTTAAGGTTTCTCATAGGTATGGACCATGGATGGACACCAATCTAGTACTGCCACTTGGACCAAGGAAATGTCAAGTGATATTTGATTACTACATTGAACCGTCTCTTATGGTAAGATTAATTTATTCTACTTTTGGATAGTCCCTGCCTGTGTTATCTACAAAATTAATTTTGCAAGTGTCTTAAAACCCTGAGAGAAGTCATATAGATGTCATACTATAAATTGGTTTTCCTCTGTTCTAGTATCTGAAGTATTTAGGGGTGCTGGCTTTTTCTTGCAATCTGTCCAAGATCACTGTTATTTAAGTGCCGTGCATGAACTATACATTAGTTTGAGAAACCTAGAGAAACCAAGAAATGAACACTCGTCTGGACAAAAACAAGTCAGCACAAAAAATAATTAAGATTCACACCCCGCGGTAAACAAATTGTTTTCATCATGTTGATTCCAAGTGTGCTTTGTATCTTTTACTTTTTTTTTTTTACTTTTGATTTCTGGTTCTCAGGATAACAGAGATTTTATAGAGAGAAGTTTGAAAGACAGTGAAAGAGTACAGGTATATAATCAAAACATGCATGGTTCATACATGGTTCTTAATATCTAGGCCTAATACACAAATGGGTGGCTGAGAATATGCAGCTGGAAGATGTCATGCTATGTGAAGGTGTCCAAAGAGGTCTTGAATCACCTGCATATGATATCGGCAGATATGCTCCGACTGTCGAGAATGCCATGCACCATTTCCATTGTCTGCTTCACAAGAGCCTGAAAAAATGAGAATTAACCGATACATATCGGTAGATGTGCTCCAACTGTCGAGAATGCCATGCACCATTTCCGTTTTCTGCTATCAAATTTATGTCCTGATTGTATCCATCCTCCTATTTTAGTTTTATATCTTTCGTTGTTCATGTTTTATGAATAATGATGCAAGCGTGATGCTTTTTATTTTTCTATGGGGATTACGTTGTCCTGGTGTTTTTCGCTTCAAAGAATTTTACGAAGCAGTAAAAACTTGTTTTATTTCTTCAAATACCCAGTAGAAGTGATTCAATTTCGGAGAAGGTAAAAGTAATAATTAATTTATTCAACTGTGGGTAGGATGAAAACGGGTGGACCTAAATTTTTTAACGGGGCATTTGATTACAAGGATTCTGAACTCTATTAATTCATACCAAAGAGAGATTTTAGCTCAAACAATTAAGAACATTTATTTGTGC